TCATAGTATAGTTTCTGAAATTATCTTATTCCCCAATTTTCTGTGACATTTAAGGCAATTTAACTATGTATAATTCAAAGCCAGAAATAATAAGAAACTTGTTTAATGAGAATCTTTCTTTCATAAGAGCTATTTTAAATTCAAATATTTTAATTTAAAAATACACTCTATATTAATTTTACTTTTTACAAAGACAGGACTTGTTAAATGAAACAAATAAGGTTATATTACTGATAATTTAAAAACATTTCTAAATTATTTTTGCAGATGTTTAAAAAACTTTAATGAAGTAGCTGGTAAATGTAAAATAGTTTTAAAGTTATGTTAAATATACACAAAATGAATTTCTATATTATGTGCAAATTTATATTTTCTTATAATTTAGAATTAAAATATTTCATATCCAACATTCTTAATAAAATTTATGTACCATAAATTTTGTCATTATGAGGAATTCTTATCAAAATCACATTTATCTGTGATACAGTGTAAAGTTAGTAAATGTTCTTTACACAAATCACACATTTCCATCCTTGATAACTGCAGGTTTTTGTTTTGTTTTTTAATATTGTTGGATTAAATAATTTTAACTGAAATAGGTCATAGAGGTTGGAAATCTGATTAACAGAGTTAGTTTACAAAGATAGATTTTATGCAGGAAAGTATGCCAGGTAGATAAAAGAGTAGTGTTATTACTCTCAGCTATTTCATTAACAGCTGCCCAGATAGCTGAACAATTGTTTCATATAATTCAAATAACTTAAATATGCAATTTTATGACAGTCATTATATGGGCTTGAAGGTAAATTCATCAAAGCCAAAGAAAAAAGTCAAACAAAAGAGCAGAAATGAGAAAGAAGTATAAAAAAATGAGAGGACTTGAAGGGAAAGTTTTTTTTCCCTACAGTACTGATTGCTTGTATCATATTTTTCATCTGTCATTGACATAAGACATACGAGATGCTACAAAATCTAATTGTGATGGTTTCATACATTTTTCCAGTTAATTCTGTTTAAAGTGAGATGATCATATGAAAGTATTCTTTAGAAAGGAATAGAAAGATTAAAAATTTGTTAGCAAAACTGGGAGAAACCCACCCATTCTTGTCAGTTAAGTTAGGTTTGCTGAAATTGTAGCCACTAGCATAAAGTATACATAGGAAGATGAAGAGCTTTTATAACCTAAAGGTCTGCAGGATCTGAGCTCATAATCAGACAGGCTCCATGATGAGTTGTATGTGATTCAGTTATACTGAAAATTGGTCTCACATGTTATCATAAACAGGTTCTCAAATATTTATAAGTAAAGGAATGTTCCTATCCCCATGAACATTTAAGGGTGAATTAGTGTAATACTTATTCAAGTACAACTTCAAACACTGCATCTAAGATGCCAGTGATTGCAAGATATGTCACAATTTTAGAAATGTGAAATTGAAAAGCAGATATCTTAGAATCAATGAAATATGAATATGTATAATCAGTTATCCATAATAAAATTGCCATACAGTAATTATAAAAGAAAAAGGAAATGATCTGAAAGAATGCCAGTTCTATACTTCTCTGAAAATATATCTGTTTGCATTGTATGAAATGGAGTTCTTAAGGTCAATATAAATAAGGATAGTTGTAAATTAAATATTGAGTATATAAAACAATACAATATGCACATGATTGAACTCCCATATAGCTATATTTCACTCAAACTTTCACTAAAGATACAGATCTCAAACCCTTTAGACCTGAGAGAAGCTCAAATGGCTGTGAAAATTTTAAATTCTTAGTTTTTAATGTGTATGTCTTGGTTCAGTTACATGATGAATTCTGAAATCATTAAGAGATGTTTGGAAATGGAGAACTTCCTTATACCATTACACTGAGTTCTTTTTCACAATAAGCCTTATTGAGCTTAGAGTTTTAGGGCAATCTCGGGAAAAGTGAGTAGGAAAACCAGGAGCAAGGAAGGAAGGAAAAGCCATTGAGTCTAATTTACTATACCATGTAACCAGAAGGAATATAATTCTATGGAGAAAAATTTTTATAGTTCATCATAATCATATTTCAGTGTCTCATGGATATTTGTTGTCATATATAAGAATATTTTTAATGGGATTATTTTAAAGGGATAATGTTTTTTAAAAATTTGGAATTTTTCCTTTTGTGAAGTGTTGTATTTGATGCATCTACCAATTTTAAGTTTTTGAAAAATCTGCCTCCAAAGAAATCTACTCTGTTAACCTTAGATTTTTGTATCCTTATAAACCAAAGCTATATTGAACATTCAGTACATAATCAGATTTTTAAGTGAATTTTTGACTGTTTCAGAGAATGTTTATGATTTCATACATTTTAGTAAGTTTCCAAAAAAGATATCAAATGTTTGTAAATCCATGTACCCTGTGGTGTAAAGATGTTCCCAGAGAAGTAGAATGCATACAGTTATATTGTAGTGTGTATATGGCACATTTCTAAATCATTACATACTTTAGAGCATAAAATGCTATCGTACCAAAAGTGTTGTTCAAGTTCTGTGTTAACTATTTAACATTTCATTATTTGTTTAATATCATGAATCTCAAAAATCTCCTGTGGTCATGTTAGTTGAAAATAGGCTCTATTTACATAAATTATTTAAACTAAGAATAAAAATACCCTGTTTTCCCTTACCTTTTAACTAATTCTAACTAGTCAAATATTAATTCTCTTCTCATAAGCCATTTTACAGGAAAATATCCATTATTCAAGTAAAATATAAGCTCTAAAATCTTTAAGAATCAGGTCTTTAAGTAAAAAAAGAAAGCACAAGACATCACAAGCATAACTACAATCATCATCAAGCATGGAACTGCCTATCAGGAAGTTTGTCTTTTCCTATGATAATAGCCTTGGTCCATTATATTAGTGCAAACTAGTGAGAGCATAAAAATATAAACCCTTGATTTTTAAGGGTTTCATTTGATTATGCTCCTTTGGATAATTCATTCCACATGGAGATTAGCTTACGAACATTATAATGTTCATTTTTTAAATTGTCAGCATTTTAATGAATAGATGTTTTCCACTTTTTCCTTTTGGAGAGCTATCAGGTATCCAAATTTTCTTTTTAAAATGGATACTGTGTGTGACAGGCAGCCTGCAAAGTATGATCTTTACGTTATCCTTGGTGATCAAAGGTATCTTACACAAGTGAGTCACAGTACTGAATTATGTCAGTGTCCCCAATCTCATTAGGGGAAGGAAATACAGTTCAACTTAGCGTCATAATTGCTTGGCTGTAGGGGACAGTTAATGGAGCTGCTGTGCTTGTTTGCTCCAGAACAACTTATTATATGTTTTAAAATCCTCTTTGGGGTAAAATATGGGGTGGGAGTTTGTCTTCATTAAAATGCAAATATCTGGCCTTTCTTCAAGTGCCGGAAGACAAATTTGGGAAGTTAATTATAAGAAAACATTTTAAACAAATTCCTTTGTTTTCATAGGCAAAGCTCTGTACTACACACAGGACTGTTGGACTTATAGCCAACAAAATCAGACTGAATAAGTCTGTAGGGATATGGTAATTTTGAAGAAGTTTCCATGGGGGAAGATAAAAGCTCATGGCCTCTGTATCAAGCTCTCAGGCTGAGCACTGCACAACTCACAGGCTGTGGTGTGAATGGATTTCCCTGTAGTTAGGCCATGCAGCATTCTCTTAGAAGCTGATTAGCAGGAAAGAATGGAAGCCAGTCATGGAATTCAGTTTGAGTTACTCTTTTCTGCTTTGCTTTGAAATTTTCTCATGTCATACTCAAGACTCCAGTAAATCACATTTAAAATTACTTCCAATCAAATATTTTAAAGAATCAAGAGGTAGCATGATATGGTGCAATGAACACTAGCCTGGCAATAAGAAGATAGAAGTTCTCTTCAAATGCTGCCACTTAATCACTTGGGCGTTTTTTAAGATATCATTTAAACTTTCTGAGCCTCAGTTCCCTGACTCAGTAAAAGGATGAATTAGCTTATTTCTAAGATATTGTCTATCCTCCTCCAATTGTATACTTTTAAATTCTGGTGAGTACGGTTGAGGTGATTCAGGGAAAGAACTCTTTAGGCTGCACTGAGGGGTGAAAATAATATAGCTTAATATAGCTTTTAATTAGAAAAATGCTAATATCTACTTGGAGTAAATATCTGAGAGAACTCACTAAAAAATGTGGCACTTTGAGGCAGAGTTTCTAAACACCTTGTGATCTTCAACCTGATGATTAGACAAATGAAATGGTGAAGCATCCAGTTTATCAGGTAAGAAGATATGTCAGACTCCACATCTGCACACAACGAAGCTGGTCGATTTTGATGTTACTTTACAGTGTCCCTTATTAAACATTCAGCTTTTAAAATCAGTATTCTAATAAAGTGACATTGTATTATTAGGTTTTTATAGCAGTAGTAACTTAGCACTTATTTAATCCAGTCATCTGTGACATATATAAACCTATCCTGTAAGAAAGAAAAAATATAAAGGCAAAGAGAGAATGTTGAAATTAGTATCTTGTAAGAAGCAGAAAACAAACACATGCATAACACTACACAGTTTCAAAAGCAGTATCCCTCAAAATTAAGGTTTTATCTATTAACCTCTTGAATAAGTGAAACACTAACCATTTATTCATCTAGATGTTCTTGTCTATTCACTGCCAATTGTTGAAGTGTTTGGCAACAGTAGTATAACTGCCTTTTATTTTTTTTCATCCACACGTTTGGTGCAGGGATTACTGTACCCTTGTAGTGACACAGCATTGTCTCTCTCTGGGAAGCATAGGAATGGCAGGTACCTGTAAAGTGTAATCAGTGCTCTTCAGATGATCTACATTCTATGCTGATCTAAATAAGTTATATATTACAGTAAAGTGCTACAATGACACTAGTCTCAAACAGTAGTAAGACACATTTTTCTCTGAAAAATTCAGCAGCGATGTGAGTCACATGATGATGAGGATGTTTGTCAGTCTTCATTCAAGTGGACAACCAGCAACCAGCATGATCTAGAACAGTTTGTCTCCTCCTGTGACTTCTAAAATTATATATTTTTAGGAGCAAATATTAAAAATCCAGTTTCCCATAAAGTACTTTCTATCTTTTTAGAAGTTGCACCTGAAAGTTTCATGAGCATTTAATTTGCTGATATCCATTTTTATTTCTTCAGGCTTCTCACGTCGGTAGGTTACTGCTCTTGTGCAAACACTTTGCAGAATCAACTTGTCCTTGAGGGAGAAAGAATAATATTACTTAACAGTCTAAATATTGGAAGTAGACAATGACATACTGATAGTAATTCTTTTTTAGAATTCACTGACCTTTTTTGAGGCCGACACCCTGTAATCTGCCGAGGACTTAATTTTATTACTATTCCATTGTAGTATCACCTGTCTAATGATAAGGACTTTAAGCAACCCAATCAAGAATGTAACTATGAAGATGATGAAAAATATTCTTAAATAGCTTGGGCTAGAGAAACATTCTGTAATAAAGCAAACAAATAAATGGATTAAAAACTGGAATGAGTAAATCAAAGGATTTTAACAAGCAAACAATGTTCTCCTTCTCAATTAATAGGACCAGAGATATTTGCAAATCTACATTTTCAAAACAGAAGAATGTCATTACTACTGATTCAAAAAGTAACTGTAATTTTTATTAAACATTTATTATTAAAATATTTCCAAGAGAAAACCGTTTTGGAGAATACCCACAATTAAAGTATTCAAAAATATTATTTCTTTGCAGCTTGATTTTTTAATTGTATTAGCTGGAATGTGCCCAAATTCCTTAACAGAATAAAATTTTTTCTGTGACAGAGAGGGGCAGTTTTTGTGGTGTGCATTGTTGATCACTAAGTGGAAAATGGGATTTAAAAATTATTTAACAGCTCTGTGTATCAGCATACGTTTCTCTTGCTATGCTTGCTCTTCATTCATTGCACATCAGTAATGGAAAATAAAGTAAACAACTGCAGAAGCAAAAATCAGTACTATTCTAATAGATGAAAAAGTATTTCCTTTGAAAGTGTAGGGTAAATTTCCATTAATATTACATGTAGCCTCTCCAGGGAATAAGAGTGTCCAGCTCAGGACAATATGCAAATCTCTTTTCCTCAATTTTTATTAATTTAGTTTTTACTTGTCAACCAAATCTGTCAAATTTTGCTTCTAAAAATTCCACTGTATATTTTTTTTCAAGAACAAATAATTACTAGCTGGAAAAGGAAAATGCTGCATTAAGAGGAGGAGCATACAATGTCTCTGTTTTAACACCAGACCTTTGGCAAACCCTAGTTGGAAAGTCTACAGGCTCTGTGGATGCCAGAAGTATTACCCTAATCTAAGAGGAACATTGCACAATATGCCAGTATTCCACAGAATTCACTAGCTGCCCCAGATACACAAAATTACCTCCTGGCTTAAAGAGGCATGTGTTTTCTGCCCATTCTCCAGACTTAAGGGACTTCACCTAAATGCCTGAAGGTCTCCCTGAGAGGGCCTTTTGGGAGGAGAACCTGCCAAGATTTAGAAGAGCAGTCACCCAAACGTGGGTAATTTGTGTTCTGAATTCACAGGGATGACCAAGCATGCTTTTGAATAAGCCAAGAACTCAGAAATGAGGCAAGGGCTCCTCTCCAAGTGGGAACATTCTAAGCCCAGTTTTCTTTGGTCAGTGATAAGGTTCCTTGAAAGAAAGGCTAAAGGGAGTCCAAAGGACTACAAATTGGAATAGAAACACCAAAAGCAAGCACAAGTCTCCTGTTGTTACTGGTCTCTCACTCAGAGAGAATCCAAGATACTTTATTCAAAGGTGGTATCCTTGGAGTCTTCCACAGTGACCTTCAGGTTTGTGACAAGCATGCCTTTCATCCTGACAGACTGTCATTTCCCTTGGCTGACTTAGAACTAGTCAATCAGCTAAAGCAGATCCTTAAAGGGGACACGTGGCTTGATCCCACTTATTGGCTTCTTGCCTAGGAGGAGCTTAGCCAGAAGACTGGAACAACACCCTTTAAGTGTGATTGAGTGGATAGATAATAGAGGTGGCTAACAAATGCTCTTTCCCTCTCCTTCCACCATAGTTGTGAAGGGGAGGGGAGCCCCCTAGCTACCAATAAATTTCACAAATATTTCTAATGGGTTAGGATAGAGGACATCTTCAGGCTCAAATCTGCATGCATTTTAGAATGTTGTTTTGGATAGACAAACATTTAGCCTTGGCCATGCCTCTCATCTTAGTCTAGGTCAAGCAAGGGCTTTTCCTAAGGAGCTTTAAGGGAATACTTTTTGTAACCACACTTAGGTCAGAGTAGGTTTGTTTACTTAACATAATAAATGACATGTTGACAGAAAGGGCTCTATTTATTAGAAAAGGCACTTGGCTTTCTGGAGTGATTGCTGCAGCCCCAGCTGGCAGCACATGGGCTCTTTTCAAAGCCAAATTCATTATGGGCTAAGATTAGTGTGGATGCAAGGGAAGAAGGAAAGAAAACTGGAGAAAGTTTATTCTTCTGTGCAGTCTAAGAGCTGGAATTATCTTTACAGGTTTGAGGAGAGACTAGAAATAACAGTAGCAGTAGAAATATTTTCAAAGAAGACATAATTTCAAGCTTAATTTCTAATTCATGTGTACTTTAACCTTAACACCTGAGCAAAGTGGTGTACTGGCTTTTGGCTTCTAATGAATTTTTGTCTTAAAATTGTCTTTGAACACAGCTTTTACATGTTTCTCCCATTTGCGTGTCATCTTTTAATTCACATATTTCTTTCATATTCACTGGCTCATTTAATGTCCTACAACTCCTTGAGTTTGGTATTATTATCTCTATTACAGATGAAGAAACTGAGGCTCAGAGAAATTTTGTAAGAGGGCTGGTATTTCTTATCTGTTAGTGTCAAGGGACATGCGTTAAGCCAAGGTCTTCAGACTAAAAGTTTCATGCCTTTTCCATTATGCCGCCTTTATAATCATTCACCCCTAAATTGTATTTACATCAGAATGAAAAATACCAGAAAGGAATGGCCCTTTTTAAGTTATATATTTTGCAAAAGCAGATCAATGCTACTTAGGATTTTTGGCTTCATCTGAAACATAAAAGTGAATTTTGGTTTTACATGAGGAACGTTGTATCTGGAAGCAAGTTTGGGTTATGAAAGATAAGTATGGCTCCATTGTTTATCTGTAAGGATGAAATGGACTCCACGTAGGAAATTTCCACTCTTGGCTCACTGAGGCCTCTGTAGTAATTCTGCCTGGTGTACTGCCACAGGGAGGCACAGCATGAGAATTTAGCTGGGTAATTGGATGGGAGATGTAACAATTCAGCCAAACAATGGCAAATATACTCAGCTGCTTTTTATAAAAGAGTACCACCTCTGGAAGACTGAAAACACTGAAGCAGTTAGTCCTTTTTTAGGATGATTGATTATGGGCCCTTTGGGGGAATGTGATTCTCTGCAGATACTCTTCAGTGCTTTTTAAGCTTTGGTTTACCTGATGTTTGGTCCATATAATGCTGTTCCATGAGAGCACATGAGGTTTTACAACGATCAAGTATAGCTTGAGACAGGTTGTAAGGGTGAAGGCATTGCACACAATTCCTGTAAGGACGAAAAGAAATGAAACATTTAACCTTTGAAAAGGTTATAGCCCACAGTATTTTCTGCAAGAAATAAAATATCAAAATAGAGTAGTGCTGCTTTAGGACAGCCGCCTTGTAAAACTGGGAAAGCCATGACAGTTATTTGTAATACTGGCTGAATTTACACGGTAAAATTATATTCTAACCACTAAAAATCTTTTAATAATGTATAAAATCAAAATAATGAATTTTCCTTATTGAGAAATAGGAAACACATAAGATGCTTCCATCACAAATAAAACTCGTAAAAATATTTTAGAGGATAAATGTTATACTATAGAAAAGTTTAGCAATGAATACACAGTTCAAGTTTCAGCTGGGTTCGTTAGAAATAACTCCAACATTATGTTTAAGTACTGCATTTCCAAGAGAGTCACATAAATTGCTATATATAATTTTAAAAATTTTACTTGAGCTACCAATCTGAGAAAGTAAATGTCTTAAAAATTTTGAATAAAACAAATTGGAAGGCACAGTAATAGTTAGAGTAGTGATCTTTGAGCAGGCTCAAACTGTTCCTGGGAAATTAGTTACTGACACAAAACAACATGCCACCTTCATTTAACATATCACCTCTTACTCATCCATCGCTTATTTCTAGAGGTGCTTCAGAGCCACTGTCATTCTTTATTTTTAAAATAAATTTTTAAAAAAACAAAAAATAAAAAAAATAAAAGAAACCCAATAATAATAGCTAACATTTATTCTAGGATTATTATGCACCAAGTAAGTACAAAGGTTGGGTTGTTTTTGTTTTACATGAATTATCTAACTTAATTCTGTCACAGAACTATATCAGGTACTATTATTATTATAATCCTCATTATTATTTTAATCATCATGTTGCATACCTTAAGCCTTGTGTAAACAAGGTTATATGTCAGTTGTATCTCAATAAAGCTGGGGAAAAAACAATAAACACTGAATATTATTCTTTAAAACAACAAAACTATTCCATGGAACACTACATCAAAAACTAATGATGTAATGTATGGTAATTAACATAACATAATAATAAAAAAAATGTGATGGTCAAAAAAAACAAAACTATTTCAAACAAGCTAAGGGAGTGAATGCCTAGATCAATTCTGATGTTTTCACAGCTATCTAGTGGCCGAAAGTTGGAATCTAAGTTTTCTAATTCCTAAATTCCCCATTCGGTTCTTTTTTAGCATGATGATAACAATTTACCTGGTAGAGAAGATCCAGCAACATCTAAGATTAAGGAAGGCAAAATAGAGAAAGGACGAACCCAGCACTACTGAAGGACTGCTGTATGTATGTTTGGAGGTAGAGAACACGTACCAGTTTTCACTGCAGGCTGTGTGACACGTGGGGCAGTGTTCACAGAAGCGGCCGATGCTCCTGGGATCCGTGCATTCACACCTGCCACATACACACGTACCTCTTCCACTGCACACTTGGCCCTTCGGACTGACACAGTGCTGGGCTGAGGCTGACGGGCACTGACAGCGATCCCCTTCCCAGCCACTGAAGCACTGGCATCTGCCCGCTTCACACTCTCCATGCCCTGCAACAGACACTCCAGGACCTAAGTTACTGGGGCCGCTGACTCTGACGTGTTTCCAGACCTGAATTCCCCTCCCCCATCCGTGGAAACACACCGACCGTCAAGTGAGTGGGAACAGCATCATTTTCTATTCATCTGACAAGAACAATGCTAGGGTTTAGGAGGGCCTATTTTCAAATTTTCGGTTGTAGGGACTCTCCTGAGGCTAGATGTTGTGCTGACCGTTGTGACATCGGCTCTGCTGCTCGGGCTGCCTGGCCACTTGAAGGTCACTGGCCGTTCCGGTTTGAATGAAAAACACACAAATATAAAAAAGCCTCAAAGGCTGAAGTAATGTTAATTGTCTGTTTTAAGATCTGAAAAACAGGGTATTTGATTAATAGCTTCCATAATTTATTCTCGTGGTCTCTCGTTATTGCTAGGGGCCTGGGATAACTTGGGTCTGTGAGGCAAGCCCTTCTAGTCCTTCAGTGCCGCTAGCGCCATTTTAAAGACAAGATCTCTGGGCAAGTGGAACTAATCCTTTCCCATCTTCAGGACATTAACAGGTTAGAAGGGCATGTCCTACAGTGTGCTGTGAGCTGTTATTAGGTCATAAATGAGAGAAAGTAAGTGGGGTGTGTGTGTGTGTGTGCAAATGTACACTTGTGTGTTGGGCTTGGGGGCATGCAGACAAATGAGTTGAGGGGAAACACTGGTCCTATGTACTTACATGGATTTTAGACTGCAGGAGGCATCTAAATTTAATATGCTTATGTGAATTAGAAATCTTCAAGAGCAATTATATATTACAGGGTTACATAGTGTTTCTCAAGCTTATGTGGCCACAGACTTTTCCTTCCTTCCTTCCTTCCTTCCTTCTCTTGCTTCCTGGCTTCCTCCCTCTCTTTCCCTCCCTCCTTTTACTGAGGAGCACCTCACAGGGTTACTGTTCCATAGAAGCTACTATTGGATCAACTCAATTGCTAAATGTAAAACTAATGAGATCCAGGCCAAACAAATGCCTGCCAGACCCAGTTCCCTATATGCAGGCTGCACACCTAATCCTAGCCAGCTGACCTGTGAACATGTGTTTTTATTCTCAAAGGAGACTAGTGAAGAAAACATTTGTCAGCCTACAGTTTGCACTATAATTTATACACAAGTAATTCAAAGCAGATTCTCAATTGCCTGTGGGTCGGCAGTATAGTCGTATAGAAGGGCTAGTACATTGGTTTTTGATATTTAACTATAAATAGAGACTGAGATTCTCAATGCATTTCAAGCTTCTTTGAGAGATCAAAAGCTGTGGGATATCAGACCTCTTCCCCGTTCCAAATAGGATTAGCTCTAAAAATTAGAAGATAATTGCTAGTTTGTTCTTAAGTCATCTATAATCCATTCTACCAATGATACCAGGTACAGCAGAATAAATGTTTGGCATATAAAATGTTTTGTGTCGATAACAGAATAAAAAGGCAATTTTCCATTGCATATTTATGTGACATAGGGCAAATTTCTAGTTTATACAAGAATAGAAAATTTGTATAGGTTTGTTACTTTCCATATGGTTATGGCAGTGAAATATTTCAGTTCATCGGTAATCAATATTTGCTACCAAAATGCAAACATTAAAAAGCTGTTTTAACAATAAGTGGATTTAGCACAATGTCACAGAAAAATTAATTCATTTAAAAACAATATTTTCTATTAAATTTCAAATGTTGCACAGATTTTCTAGAATCTAACCTCTAGGTGGCAGTAAACTGAATTAGCCAAAAGTACTTTTGATATTTTTGTTTTAAATTATTTCATTTTTTAAACGTTGTCTGCGTGTGTGGCCTCTGGTACTAATCTTCTAGATTACTTTTGAAACCAGCATCTTCTTGGAGAATGCTGTCCTTTGATAATTTCGTTGCTGGCGTTGTTCCAAAAATACACTGGAAAGGTTTAAGTTATTACAAATTTATAATACCATCTATAATAGTGCCTTAAGAATTTTCCAATGAATGGAAACTATGTTTTTATAGCTCACTGTCCTCTGAGCAAGCTGGAGGGAGTGACCACTTACGAGAATGAATCAGGTCTTTCCAGAAGAATACTCTGATTATAGAAAACCTGCCAGACATCACAGTAATTTCCTTTTCTGGGTATATAGATCAAGGCATACTTGAGAATAGCACTGAATTTTTGGTTTTTATTTTGAAGTATTTCCTGTACAAAATAATTTAAAATATAAACAGCAGAATCATATGCCATAAATCTGTTGCCATGCCCTAATTTAATAGACTTTGAACCTCTGAATATTAAGTTCAGATTCAGGATTGGTAATTATAAAAATGTGACTTAAAGATACTTTAATATATATGCCAGTTTAACAGTAACTAGTAAAACCTGCATGTATATGTTTATTTAAACCTACCAGCGCACAGATTTCCATGGTGATACGGACAAGAGAAGTCATCCTTTTCACAGTATTTTCCATACACTTTTCCAAGCTTAATTTTGTGACATAGACATTTCCCACAAACACAAACTCCTCGACCACTGCAAACAGGTTGATCCTTGTGTGACTTGCAACTCTCAGAAGGAAATTGATCTTCATCAAAATGACATTTATTCTCATTACACTGGAAACACTTGGCATCTAGAAACACTTCATCTACACACTTTTGTTTAGGTGCTCTCCCGTCATCACACTGACAGCTGCAGTTTCTGTGTATATGAATTTTAGTGGTTTCATTGAAACCAATAGGTTTGATTATTGCATAGCTCTTTCCTCCTGTGACATCACACTTTTTCATTGTAACTGTTACATTGAAAAGAACCTAAATGGGGGAGGGAAAGAAAATATATATTTATATGTCCTGATTATTTTTATCATCACTATTATATCTGTTAATGCTATTCTGAATCAATAATGTACCATCTTATAGAAATTTATAATACTTTGTAAATTACACATGCAGTCTTTCATAGGTAGATGTAACATCCCTTTTTAATTTAATTTATTTCCTAATTAATGAACTAGAGAGTTAAAGGAAGCAATGACTGCTACTTGTCTATATTGTACCATTAAATGGATATGGGTTCAAGCCTATTTGAAATGTCCTCCATTGATTTCTTAGCAAACTTGAGAGAGAATAGATCATCTTCTGAATTAAGTCCTAAAATGTGCGGTTATTGAATATTTCGCACAAGGGAGAGAGCAAATAAACTAAAATAAAGGACTATTGCTCTCCTGGTTTAAAACCATGAGACAGGATGTTCAGATGAACAATTCTTATTTTTGTTCCTATTTCCTAGGGGCCCAAGTAAAGTTTCAGGGTTCAATTTTAGTTTATACATGGTATTAATGAAGGAAAACATGAGGCTTTCTCTGATGTTACTTAAAGGAAAAAGATTTAGGACTCTCAGATTTTTTTTTTTTTTAAGATTTTATTTATTTGACAGAGAGAGACACAGCGAGAGAGGGAACACAAGCAGGGGGAGTGGGAGAGGAAGAAGCAGACTTCCTGTGGAGCAGAGAGCCCGATGCGGGGCTCGATCCCAAGACTCTGGGATCATGACCTGAGCCAAAGGCAGCCGTTTAACCGACTGAGTCACCCAGGCGCCCCTGAAGTTATTATTATTAAATAAGTATTTAAAATAGTATGTATTTATTTAACTTGAGAGTTTGAGAGAATAGTCAGTGGAGTTAAAACAAGTAGGAACTTTGGAAAGAGATAATAAAAATTACTTTGAAGTGTATATATAAGATCCTTGGGGTCAGTAGTAAATAGTTTTCCAGAATGGTTTGATTTTTCTGTGAGAAACATGCCAGACAACTTAATTTATTTTAAATGGGAAGAATGTACACCCACATACTTCGTCATTGCTTGTCACATTTCCACATCCGTCTGTGCCTGGTTTTCGGGTCCCATCTGGACAGATGGCGGTAATATTAAAATAGACGCCTTTTACCTGGTTTTCCACCTGAACTTTCACTTCTGAAATGAGTTTCTGCAGAGACATCATTTTTTGATTGTATATCACAAAAGTTTCAAATGTAAGCAATTAAATAGGGGCAAGCTTATTAAATCATTCTAGATTTAATTTTTAACTAAATCAAAGTCTGTCTCTATAAAAGGATAAATAAATGTAGTGTTTCCATATAATGACCCAATTATATTTGAGATACATAAGAAATACTGAGGGATTAGACCATCTGCATTTAAATTGTTCTATTTTTTCACATATCTCCATGAATGTGCATTTTGACTTTAAAGATATTTCTCAGGGAGACGAACCATGAGAGACGATGGACTCTGAAAAACAAACTGAGGGTTCTAGAGGGGAGGGGGGTGGGGGGATGGGTTAACCTGGTGATGGGTATTAAAGAGGGCACATTCTGCGTGGAGCACTGGGTGTTATGCACAAACAATGAATCATGGAACACTATATCAAAAACTAATGATGTAATGTATGGTGATTAACATAACAATAAAAAATTAAAAAAAGATATTTCTCACTCAGCCTGTTATAAAAATAGTCATTTTAATCCAACAATATTTATATTTTGTGACAAAATTTAAATAAAACATTGAGAACACCTAGATTGTAACAAAGGGTAAATCTTAACAGCTTAAAATCTGGAACACATTTCTGACATTTACAGCTATTAAATAAACATTTCCATTTCAAACACTTTCGGCTATCATGAAAGCTAAAATACCTTAGTGATACAGCATTGAAAGGTAAGTTTTGGGGAGGGCATTTCTATACTGTAGGCATAAGAATTACCTGCCTGATATGGTCCTGTAAATTCTCCAAGAATGGTGACTAACATAACAGAAAAAAAAAAAAAAAAGGGGAGTGGCCTACAATTTTTGCCAAGTCCCTGGGGCTTGCTTGTGTCAGATTTGTTCTAATCCTTAATACTGAAATGGGACCACTTACTAGACAGAAAATCATTCACTCATTTATTCATTCATTTTTTCAATTACTCAAAAAATATCTATGTAAAACTTATCATGTATCAAGCACACACAGATTTCTTCCAGCACAGTCTTTGGTTCCAAAATTTCTAGCTACATTAAATATATACTGAAGATCTATGTGTATTTCATCTCATAAAACAGTCTACCACATGCAAAAATCCTTAACTTATATTTATAAACAAAAAAGATGAAGTATATACCTAAGGAAAGAGTGAGTAGCAGGATATGAAGAAAAAAATATTTTCTAATGGCTTCTAATTTGTTACTTGAGTAAATTTTCATCTTCAACTGTATAATCGATAAAGAAATGTGTGCTTACTGCCTGATAGCTGACCATGGTGGTAAATCTAGAACAAGATACTTCTTCAAGTTAGTAAATTTTATTTGGATTTGATAAGACTGTGTTAGCCACATTTTTAAATCTCTCAGAGAGCTCATCCATTGTAATCACTTAATTGAACATTCTCAGCAAACCAACATAAACTTGTAACGGTATATAAATGGTGTTGATAGGGTGATGGTTTGACAGATCAGAAGGAAATTCCTAAAACAATGAGTGTCTCAGTTTGCCCTTCTGAAGTTCTTTCTCTTAAAAAGTTAACCTTGTTACACTAATGTTTTTCACTTAAGCAGGATTGAAGACAAATATCTAAAATTTTGCCTAGTTTTGAGATTTAGAAATTAGGCTCCAAACACAATATTAAGTTTCCTTTTTAATATCTAACAAGTACAGAGGCAGAATTTATTTTTTGATGTATAATTCTGTTTGTATTCAATATAATTTACTTTTCATTTCTTAATTTCAGCTTAATTTTTTTAGTCATGATTTTTATTTAATTTAATAAAAAATAAAATGCAGTCACATTCACCATGCACTAAATTTGTTTGTGATTTTATAAAATTCTTAAAAAGGAAATGCAAAAAATTAAAGTTAGAATGAAATATTTTTATTATTTTTCTTCAATGAATTGTGAATTAATTCTGTTGGACTGTGAAGACAAAATAAAATTTCAGAAGAATTTTGAAAATATACATATATGTAAAATAACAGAATCTCAACTTAAGGAGATTAATTAGCCAGAGTAAGTCTTACTGGATTTGCTAGTATTTTCCCATTGTTTAAGGTTAATCAGAACTGCAGTTAGCCAAAGCACTGAATACCTATCCTGGACAAATAAAGAACATAAAACCAAATGCTGCTGGTTCCCTTTCCATTAGTACAGTCTGACACACAGGCAAGTTTGTCAATTTATGTTCCTTGTTTGGAGTAATAAATGGGTTCATACTATAAAAATAAAAACTAGGGTGATTTCTAACACTGCACATTCCCTCCTTATTTTGATTATTCCTGGGAACAAACTGCAGATGGGAATGAACTGTACATGTTTCATCTTCCTTGATAAGAAGCTCCCCCTAGTCCTAATGTTCTTTTGTAACAGTGACAAACAAGAATAAAGATGGTCTTCCTTATTTCATCCAATGTAGTTTTCAGATATAGAACAATTCCTTGGCAAAAAAAAAAAAAAAAAAACCCACAAGATTTATTTTTCGAGTCCTTCATTTTCTATCTCATGTCTACTTCCTGACTTTTCCTTTTGTGCTCAAGTAGAAGGCAGATGTTGCACAGAGAAAATAAAAGAAGCCTGAGGTTGCTCACAATGCTTGGGCTACTGTGTACACTATTCATCTCTACTGTGTAAGAAAGAGAATCAGAGAATTTGGGAAGTGAGACTTAATCAGTGGTCCATAAGTTCAAGGTAGAGTAAAGCATACTTTTGGATAGTTTGTAAAAAAACAAACAAACAAAGAAAAACAAGTGTTATCACACAGAAGGAAGCACCTGAGGCCTAGAATTAAGAAAGACCTGGGTTCTGGTCCTGATCCTTCTGCTTGTTTGACCTTTGGTTAGCTTGCTTAGCTTCTTTGAGGTTCTATAAATACAAAATGGGAGTACTAACATCTTCCTTATGGATTGGCTGTGTGGATTAAATGAAGTCATGTATGGAAAGTAACTGTTTCTGGGTGGTATTAAAGTAACAATAACAATTATTACAACATTTTAACAGTGATTATTCTATCCAAGAATGACCTATGCTGAGAGAGCAGATGTTTCTATAAATCTTTGCATTTGGCACTCACTCTTCATAGACTAGGGACAGCATACAACTGTCAATTCAATAAAATAGTATACCTCTTAAGGTGATTGTTTTAATCAAAGTAGTTTGATAACACTGCTAAAATACCTGATTAAACAATCAAGTGATTAATTTAGGAGACCCCAACAGAGTCCTCTCAGTAATCTCTATATCCCAGATAGTTCATTTTCAGAAGACAATTTGCTGCTTTAAATAGTGTGGATTTCTTTATCTTTATGACATAGGAAATTGTGACATTTCTGATAATAAAGTATGTTTTATAGCCATGATTTGGTGACTTATGGAACATTTGATTTAGAAGAAAATTTAGATAGCCTCTAGCCCAACTTGAGTTTACTGACAATGAGATGGTGAAGTAAAGAAAGCTGACGTGAATTTCCCAAGGTTACATGGCTAGTTAGTGATAGAACCAGGGCTAAATTCATGTTAATTTTTAACCTAATTTTCTGTCCACCATTCCTCTCAAGTTGATAGGGCACTAATTTGTATCTTGCCACAGAAACTGGAGTTAAAAGTTTACACAGACTTATACCTTTGAAACAAATAATACATTATATGTTAAAAAAAAGAAGAAGAAGAAGAAGATAGTAGGAAGGGAAAAATGAAGGGGGGGAAATCGGAGGGGGAGACGAACCATGAGAGACTATGGACTCTGAGAAACAAACTGAGGGTTCTAGAGGGGAGGGGGGTGGGGGGATGGGTTAGCCTGGTGATGGGTATTAAAGAGGGCACATTCTACATGGAGCACTGGGTGTTATATGCAAACAATAAATCATGGAACACTACATCAAAAACTAATGATGTCTTACACAATTCACAGCAAAAAAAAAATTACAATGAGAAGAAAAAAATTAATGATGTATGGTGATTAACCTAACAAAATAAAATTTAAAAAAGTTTATATGAAAAAATTGTGTGTAATATATACATACCTGATAGGCTTCTACTACCAAATTATTGAGGTTTGCAGCCTTTGATTCTATTTCACCAGCAATGGTGCCAGGCAAGAGGGGTAGAAGATCCTAGAAAACATACCAATAATATTTACTTAATGACAGTAGTATACAGTGCCTCAGTAATCAACAAATATTAACAATTCTTAGAGTTATAAGTGGAAGGTGAGCCATTACATGAATAAAAAAATATAAGATACAAGAAAAATATAAGCAACCAAGTAGGGCACCAGACCATATACACCTGAAATGGGAGTGTGTACGTATACGTGCATGAGCGTGTATGGGTGCACAAATTACACGTTGACCTAAAAACCCAATCAAAGTACAGACCAAGATTTCCCAAAGTATTTTCCATATTCCATGGAACATAGTTATCAAAAGGATTCTGAGGGCAAGTATTGCATATGGTTTCTTCCACTTAGATAATCAAAATGCACATTTATAAAGGTTCAGAGAAGTCTTGGAAATAATTTAGCAGTATTTGTTGCTGCATTTCCAACATTTTAAAATTACAAAACCCTTTTCTCATGTAACATATGTAAATATTTTGCAGAACTAATGTTCTGTGGAGTGACCTTTAGGACATGTTGGCCCAGAATGGAGAAAAAAATCATTGTCACAAGTGGAAGCTTCATGGAGTGGGTATTCTTGATGGATGTCACTTAACAATTATGGAGAAAACTCTAGGTATTTCTAAGTGAGAAAATGAGAATTAGCAAAGGCTTAAAGGTTTACCTGAGTTCTAGATGAAGTAAGAAAAGACAAGAACCAGTCTGACTGGAGTGAAGACTGAATATTTTTAAGGAATCAGATTATGGAAAGTCTTAAAATCCATTTATACACTCATTTTACCATTCACAGGTATTATTAAGTTCCTGTTGTATGCCAGTCACTACTTGGACATTAACAATTTGGTATCTTAGGTAATAGGGAAAATGTATCACTCACAGATTTTTAAAAGCCATTTATCTAACCTTTATTAAGTAACTATTATGTACCACTTGGCAGTTTCCATCCTTAAGGATCTCACAGGTATATAAATGACAATTTCAAAAAACAATGTACACATGAAGTAACAGAGATATGCACAGACCCTGATGAGAGGGATGCCCAGCAAGTGTTTGAGGGCTGAGGAAGGCTGTCAGGGATGGTTTCCTATAGGAGGTGACTCATGAAATGTATCTTAAAGGATGACTAAGAGTGAGCCAAGTAATGAGGGAAAGAGACTCCCAGGCAAGGGGGAGAGGTAGCAAGAACAAAGGCAAAAAGGAAAGAAAGAACCTGGTGAGTGTGTATGCACAGGAGACATGGCTAGAGGGACAAGTATAAGGCAAGAATAATGGGGGACAAGAGAGGCAAGCAGGGACCAGATGGTTTCATATGCCACATTAAAGACTTTTAAATCAGAGAGAACCACTGGAATATTTTGCTCTAGGGAGAACTTTGGTCACAATTGTGATTTAATAGATCATCTTGCAGACAGGTATAGGATGCATTTGGGAGACAGGTTTGGAGGCTGTTACAACCCAGATGAAGGTAGTTGATAAAAATATCTCTGGGCAGCCAAAGTAGGTGACTGCAAAGACATACACAGGATTCTTGGCAAAACTTGTCAGGCTTTCTGAGCCTGTTGATTCATACTTTATACACAATTTAGTTAATAATAAACCTGGTTTATGGTTTTATCCATCAATGAAAATCTTTTTAAAGGAGTAGGAAGAAACTGCTAAAGCCAATAACAACATCAAGAAATAATACATAGCAGGGCGCCTGGGTGGCTCAGTTGGTTAAGCGACTGCCTTCGGCTCAGGTCATGATCCTGGAGTCCCGGGATCGAGTCCCGCATCGGGCTCCCTGCTCGGCAGGGAGTCTGCTTCTCCCTCTGACCCTACCCCCATCTCATGTGCTTTCTCTCTCATTCTCTCTGTCTCTCAAATAAATAAATAAAATCTTTAAAAAAAAAAAAAAAGAAATAATACATAGCAGAGAAGGACAAGGCTAAAGTAGTAACAACCTGCACAATAATTTGAAATACAACTATTTTTTTCTCTCTAAAGTTTATTTTTTATTTAAGTTACACTCTCATTCTTTTTTTTTTCAAATTTTTATTTAAATTCTAGTTAGTTATCATACAGTGCAATATAGGTTTCAGGAGTAGAATTCAGTGATTCATCACTTACATACAACACCCAGTGCTCATCATATCAAGTGCCCTCCTAATATCCATCACCCACCTCCCTTCATCAACCCTCTGTTTGTTCTCTATCTTTAAGAGTCTCTTATGGTTTGTTTCCCTCTCTCTCTTTTACTTTTTCCCCCCTCCCACATGTTCATCATCATCAGTTTTTTATTTCTTAAATTCCACACATGAGTGAATTCATATGGTATTTGTCTTTCTCTGACTGATTTATCTCACTTAGCATAATACACTCTAGCTCCATCCATGGCATTGCAAATGTCAAGACTTCATTCTTTTTGATAGCTGAGTAATATTCCAGTGTGTGTGTGTGTGTGTGTGTGTGTGTGTGTGTGTGTGTGTGTGTGT